GACCAAAGCAGTGACCAACAAGGAGGGGTGCCCCCCATTGTGGCTTTGCTCCTTCCCCATTTCACTCCAGCAATTCCCCTTTTATTCTTTAAATAAATCCTAGGCAAGCCTTTGTCTCCAGCTGCACTTGGCAAGAAGGCACGGACTGCATCAAAGCACACCTACAAAGGTCAATATTGTCATATATGTCTAATTCAAGTAGCAGCTATTTCTTGATTCATCCATTTTAAAAGGGGACATAGTGATTATGGGGAAAAACCTGAAAGGAGAGGCATGGGGTCCATTCTTGCCAGCCACTAGCTATGCCGCCCATGCTGCGCGCTCTGTAGCCCCTCGGATCTCAGGGGCTGATCAGCAGAATAAAGAGCTTGGATTCCATCATTTCCCAGATTCCTCCTGATCAGTGCTTTGTAGCTGCCCTTCCCCTGATTCACCCCTGGGATTTGGCTAACGGTATGACAGTACTTTAGCAGGGCTTTAGACAGACAAGTGAATCAGTCCCCTGAAGCTTTACGTTAGGAAATGAACAGCTATTGAGAACCTCAGAGAACAATAACAGTGACAAAAGGAAAGCAAGCCGGCTTCTGTGGGAGTCAGCAAATGCAAGCCAGGCTGCGGCATTAAGATAAGAGCAGAGTAATGAGAGGAGGACTCCCGACCAACTTCCTGACTGCTCCCCCTGTCACTCTGACAACACACATCCTGAGCAGGGCTCGATACATGGATAGCAAGTGCCGCAACTTGTTTTTTTCCTTTAAAAGTTACTTAGAACTTAGTGACTTAGCAAGGCTCTATCTTAAAATAAATAAATAAAAACAAAAGGGCCGGGGATGTAGGTCAGTGCAAATGCCCTGAATTTGATACTTAGTAAAACACACACACACACACACACACACACACACACACACACACACACACACGTTACTTGGAAATCAGCTTGGGAAAACATTTCTCCTTGGGGAAAAATAACAAAATTGTGCAGGTATCAAAAACAAGAAATGAAAGTGTAAATATTAAAAGGAAATAAGCTTTCTCTAAGTGAAGATAGTGAAGTCAACTTGAGGACCAGAAAATGTGCAAGATGCGAGGTCTATAAAGCAGATGAGGTTGTAGGTGTTTCCAACCTATAGGACATGTAAGATGCTATTTCCATTGTACACATGAAGAGGATCAGAGAGATAATTTGACTGATGATACACAGCTAGTAACAGCAGAGCTGGGGTTTTTATTTTTAAACATACATCTTATATTAATTAAAATTTATATTTATCCAGGCAATGCATATAATTAGCAAATTGGAATCACTAAAACATATAATGGAATTACCAACAGTATCATTTTCATCTTGCTGCCTTTTGTCTATTGATTGTATTTCTCAATGCTTTTATTAGGCTTTTTATTTAGGCAAATATGTCTAATTTTCAAGGTCTCTTTTTTCTTTATGGTTGCTTTTATCATCATTTTTAAAGTATCCTATTCTTTTCTTTTAAATAGAAGCAGTATCTTAGTTTTGCAAGGATAGAAGCAATAAAATAGCCCCTGTTCATCATACTGGAGGTTTATAAAGTGATCTGTGATATTTGGTTGCCTTTTGTATGTAATAGTAAGAAAATAAAACATTAAAAGGCTAACCAGGAGGAGTGTGTGTGTGTGCATGTGTAGATTGTTATATCAACCTAAAACAAAGAAAGCCCAGCTAAATTTGAATTTCAGATCAAACATTTTCAATGTATATATGTCTCAAATATTTTATGGTGTGTGTGTGAGGGGCATGTGCATGTGAGTCGGTATACTAAAATAAGTGTTTACTCTTCATCAGAAATGTAAAATTCTCCAGGTGTGGTGGTGCGCACCTATAATTTCAGCACTTGGGAGGCTGAGGCAGGAGAACTATGGTGAGTTGGAGACTAGCCTGGGCTACAAAGTGAGCTCATGACCAGCCCAAACTGCATAGCAGGCCCCGTCTCAAAAAGACAAGAAAAGAAGTGTAAAAATTGCCTGGGCCTTCTGTGTTTCCATCTGTTGAATCTGGCAGCACCTCTTCTTCTCGGTGATTATGCTCTGGACCAAGAGTTTTTGCTTGGAGACACGGCGCTGCATCCCACCCCCCTGAGCACTACCTCTAGTTGCATCCTATATTTCTCCTTAGTCCAGAGCCCTTCTTTTCATCTCTGCATAGAATGAGCCTCTGGGCTTCTTTAGGGGTAAAGCAAAGTAAGCTGATCTGGCCATCTTGAAGAAGGACTTCACAAGCTCAGACGGCTCAGCAAACTGACTTGCTGGCAAATGCCTTGCCTTGAGCTTTGAGCGTCACATTCACCTTTCATAGAACTTCTGTTTTTCAGTTTCTATGTCCTAAACTCAGTTGCGCAGAGGAACTGTCTTGCTCTTTTCTGTACTCTCCTCTGTGTGTCATGCCACCAATGTACTGGCAGTTCTTGTCACTTGTGTGCCCTCTCTTTTTCTCCTTGCAGATTTATGTCTTTTTTTCTTTTAAATTTATTTAGCATCACTCTGAGGAGTTTTGGGAGTGAGAAGGTGAAGACTAGTACTAGGGCTCAATACATCAGGTTAAATTAGAATGCCAGACTGAGACTGTTACACCATGTTATAATTCCTTCATGACTCCAACAACAGAGCCTAGGGTACAGAGTGCCAGGTGGAGCCCCACGTCCCACCTTTTTTCTTCTTCAGTAGAGGAAATCCTGTTTTTTTTTTTTTTAATCTGGGTACCTGACTACACAAGAATAAGAGTTTCTCAACTTTCTCTGATGTCTTGTTACATAGGTCTTGCTTTATCTTGGTCTTAACCATCCAGCAGAAAAGTATAGAAACGAAGTACAAGAAGTAAAGACATGTTGTTATATTGAGCTGTAGGGGACTCAGGTCAACAACTTCTGACATTGCCAGTCAAGTGGAAGACCCACTACTATTATGGACTATGGGACTATTTTGGAATATTTTGCTGAGTTCACACACCTATAATATTTAAATGATGGAACTAAACAAACAAACAAAAAAAGGGATATAGATGAATGACCATTTTGTATCTGTGTATTCAAAATGGTTAGGATAGATATATAGCTACATTCTCTTAATTCAATGAATAGAGAGATTTGTTCTAATAGTGTTTGTAAATAGGATATCATGTCTGCATCTTGTACAACAAATAACCACTAGAAAGACAGTATGCGATGCGGTAATTATTGAAACTGTCCTACCAATTTGATTTGAAACTGTCTCATTGCTATTTGTTTCTCAGTAAAATTATGGAAAAAATTTTTAAAAAAGCCTTTTCTGATGGTAGGTATGGTAAGGTGACTGAATTCTGACTGGAATCTAAGTGGGAGTTTTAAGTGACAACTTCCAGAAGATTCTCATAGAGGATAGCATGCATCATCTTTTTTCCTTTATCCTTTCCTTCTGACTGGAATGTAAACTATGGCTGGAACATAAGCAATTATCTTGCACTAAGAGATAGAAAATATGTATTGAAGGTGGCATCAAAAAGCTAGAAGGATCTCAGTTCTCTGAAATCTTCCTATAACTACTGCACTAATTGCAGATTGCTGATATCTAGGTTTCCTTTAAGTCACTATTGCTCAAAATCTTCTGTCTCTTACAGTTGAGCCTAACTCTAACAGAGGCAATGCCAAAGGCCAGTAATATTTCAAAAGGATTGACACATGATTTGTCAGAAAAAGTGGTAGAGGAGGTAAAAACTTAAAGGTTGGTTCTCTTCACTAGTTGTGGAGCTGGAGAGTCCGGGTCCCACACAAGGATGGTGATATGACTGGGCCATGAAAGACAAGTACAATGCTTTAAAGGGTGGTGTGTGAACCAGTCTCATCCAAGAAAGCAACTCCTGTGCTGGGAGAAGTAGAAGATAAGAATGAAAAAGATTCTGGAGGGACATGCAAAATTAAACAAAAGTTATAGCTTTCTTAGAAATTGATGAAGACACTAAAGACTTTTGAGATGGAAACTGGAGATGCAGGTCTGTAATGTTTAGGGTGTAAAGAATTTAAGTCTTCTATGTATAGTAATAAGCAATGTCAAGAGAATACAGAAGTGAGCCTCGAAAGAGAATAAGAATACAGGGTGAACTCGGGTTCAAGAACTGGCAGGCAGGAAAAATGAGATGGAAAGAAGATTGGATATTGAGGAAGCAATCGAAATTGATGAGAAATCAGCAATCCTTCAGCCACCTCAAACAAAACTAGAAGATATTAGCAATCTTTGGTGACCACTTCTCAAAGTGTACATTGTTGTAAAGAAAGCAGAGGAACTAACGGACTCTATTTGTTGAAAAACAGTAAAATAAAGCCAAGTTGAGAAGCAATTAAAGATCTCCATGAAACAAGGGAGAGAAGTTGTTTGGTCTTTAAGATAGAAGAGAACTGTGTATAGCCTTGGAAGGAGAGGAAGAAATTCCCAAGCTGCCAAAAGAGTTGGTACCTGACAGTGAGAGTCCCACTGGGATTGGAAGGGACAGAATTCTCTGTTCTGAGAGGTTTGCACTTTGGGAAAATGAGGATTTCTAAGAAATAGAAACAGGAGAAGCAAGGAATGAAAGCTTAGATTTCTAGTCAACTTTCCATCAACAAATGTCATCATCATTCCCACTATCATCATCATCATGATTACCATGCCAATATCATCATAGGTTAGATCAGAAACAGTAGTTGAAAATAGCAACGTTGGGCATTATCTAAACTAACAATGGCCATTACTTACTTTCAGAGTCAAGAGTGCCAAATAGGGTTCATAAAACAGAAGAACAGCAAGCTTGCCATTATAACCCTGAATCTCATTGCTTAAACACACTGTCTTGAAGAACTTCATTTACATAAAGAAGAAACGTCATTTAAAGATTGAGCCCTTTTACATATATCTATCAATATTAGAATAACAGGCACCCCCAATATGGACCTGAAAATTAATTATAAGATGGAACTTCAGATATCCATTTGTCAAATAGATCAAAAGCCAATACATACTCAAAGTACAGCGTGAGGTCTGTTGCTAATATTGACTGCTTCAAAAGCTGCATAAGGTCACTATATTCCTTGGAGGACAAATTAGCAAAGATGTTGTGACCCTGTAATAAAGAAAGTAAAAAGTCACAAAAGACATCATTAAATCTCTGACATGTTTTTCCCCCTATATTGAAAACTAAAGATCTTGGAACACGATAATCATTTTTAAAAAGCATAATAAAATTTTGTACAAATGCAAATAAATTGCCTGGCAATCATAGCAAAGCTATGAAGAGAAACATTTTTGAGGAGCTCCACTGAAGAACAATTTATTCCATGCTTATTGTCAAAGGCAAAACTCTGAAAATGCTTAAACTTGTCTTATTATGAGTATCTGTGCCAACAACACCTGTCTGCTCATTTCTATGGAAGTAGATAGTGGAGAAGTAGGCAAAATGCCTGGCAATCTTTGTGACCCTTAAATAAATACCAGTTTCAGTGCTAGAGGTTTAACTGATATTTTGGAAATACTTGTCATGGTAACAAGCAACTTATAGAAGAAAAAGTCATTAGACTAGTGGTTCTCAGCTGGGGAAGGTTCTGACAATGGGGACTTTGGCTAAATCTGGAGATATTTATGATTGTCACAACTGGGTGGGGATATTACTTTATTTAGCGGGAGAGCTCTTCAGTGTTAGTAAGCATGCTACAATAGATAGGAGAGTTTCTTTAAAGGATCTCCCTGGGCTATGTGTGGTGCTACATGCCCGTAACCTCAGCATTCAGGAGGCTAAGACAGGAGTGAGTTCAAGGTCAGCCTGAACTACATAGTGAGACTCTCTCAAAAAATGAAAACAAACAGACAAACAATGACAAAACAAACGTCTCCCTGGGATAACTTGTCAGTGCTCTTAAAGTTGAGAGACTGCCCATCCAATTGCTAGGATAAGCTTTGATGAAGCATGTGGTAGATTAACTTTAGTATACTGAATAATCACTGAATAGCTGGGACATGGGAGATGTTTTCCTTGGCACAGAAGAATTTAGTTTTACCTGTATGAAGATGCAATTAAAGCTTTTTGTCCAAACATATTTCCTTTCATCAAACTTCATTTTAGCTTCCCTAGCCAGCTTTGCTATTTGTTTTGCGTAAAGTGAAATCCTTCTGAGACATGGTCAACAATTCACTTATTCTGCTTTAAAAGTCAGATCTGCCTGAAGTATGAATTTATAAACATGTGGTCTGAAGACAGACTTTTAAAACTAAGAGTTAAGAGCCAGAAAATGGAGGAGAAGGGGCAAAGGACAGCCTGGGAACAAACTCTTCTCCAGTGAGGGGTAAATTACTTCTTTCAAGGAACCAGAAATGTCAATTAGTAAATTCTTATACCAGGCATTAGATGATAATCTGCTCCCCTGAGTTAATTCATTTCATTGGGTGAACCTACCATTCCTCAAAGATGAGAGTATATTGGTTCCACCTGGGACCAAGTCCAATAGTAATAATAATTTTCAGATGGACTCTGCCAGACCCTTAATTCAGCCATTATGGAGAAGACAAACAACTAAAGGAATGCTGCACCATAATTCTGTGCAAGTTGTTCTGCCTGACCATTGACCCCCAGATCACTTGTGAGTGGGTATTCAGGGGCTTTCAAAAAAGTGACCAGAAATTATAGAAAAATAACCCACCTAGTATTGCCCAGTGCAACAAATACATTCCTGGGAAGCAAGTCACATAAAAGTTAATGTTCAGACAAAGAGAAAGCTGATTCAAACTTGCTTATTTTGCCAGGGAATGTTTTACTACTTTTAAAGGACATAAGTAACACCCTTCCCAGTGAGCATACTCACAGAGTTAGCTAGAGCTGTCTTAATTTTTAAAAGAAAGTTAGTATGCATCAGAATATTATGCTTGTATTTTGTTTGCATGCAAACTAGCCTTGCACAATGGCTCCAGATTTGGTCCCCTAAAGTAAAGTTGAGTCTCCCTGAAGTTCTGTTTCTATGACTACTTAAATAGGGAGGGAATGTGGAAATGATGAAAATAATGACAAATATGGAGAGGAGAGGCCTGGGGCAACCTTCCGCAAGCCCTCCAGCCTTTCTTCCCTGGGCGTCACAGAAGGTGCAGAGTGCATGGCTCCATTATTACTGGCCTCTTTGTTATTCCTGAGGGCCCAGGGCAAAGGGGGCCTGTGGACACTACGTCAAAGGCCTGAGGGTTGGTTCCCTGAGGAAACCTGACATCTTGTTCATAATCCTTGTTATGACAAAAGCAGGGCTTTCTGGAATCGGAGGAATAATGAACTGATCACATTTACCCAGCACAACAAAGACAGTCGGAACCCTAGTGCCTCCTGTCTCTCCTATTCTCTTCCGCAGAGCTCAGTAAACACTGATTTTGTAGGAAAATTCCAGAGCCACAGATGCCAGGATGCTGGCTTCTGTCACTCAAAAACTGAGAGCCTAACCCTGGGTGTTTTATTCGCTGTTGGAAATACAGCACCCCTGGTAGGCTTGCCCTGGCCTGCCTGCATTCGGGTTCTGGGGAGGTGACTATGCTTTATGGGGTCGAAGGCTTTCATGATATTGCAAAAGCTTTCTCAACATAGGCTGGTGGGAAAAAACCTCCATATTTAATGATGCTATTCCAGCGAAGCATGACCTTAATGATGATAATAATAATAATTAATGGCACAGTTAGAGAACTGACAAATAATGGGGAACAGATGATCCCTTCCTGGCCTCAGAAAAAAAGTCTGTACGCCTGCAGAAAATTAAACAGATCCTTTTCTGGCAATTTAAAACTCAGATGCCTCAAACAGAGTCAGTTGTTTCTGGTTTTCTCTACAGAAAACTAAAAGTATAAAACCAAGCTACTTATAACTCCTGCATTGCCACAGGAAGCAAAATAAGGCATATGGCCTTAGCTCTGGGTCTTAGGCTTAGCTGCAGTTCAAACTTTAAAACTAGTCTCAACAGCAATTTCAAGTTATTTTACAGGTTTCTCTATTGTGCTAATAAAGTGTAACTTTCTCACCAGGGTTTTGCTTTTACCATCTTTTAGAGTGGCGTAGGGGCTCACAAAAACAGGAATGAAGGGCTCTCAGTACTTGGACCAAGTAACTGCCTTAGTGGGTGTCTTAGTCGCTTTGCTTTTGTTGCTGGAACAAACCACTGACACCCAAAGTTAAAGAGGGAAAGGTTTAGCTCACAGTTTGTAGAGGTTGCAGTCCGTAATCAGCTGGCTCCAAGGCAAGGTGGCTTGGCAGAGGGGCAATAATTCAAGGCAGCAGAACAAGGGGGAAGAGCAAGCCCCTGCATCTCCCTTATATTGTAAGCAGGTTACCTGCCCGAGGGTGGGTGTGGCACTCACACGGTCTGCATGCCTGCCTCTTGCACAGGCTTAGGTTGTTTACAAAGTGAAGACCCTGGCTCTCTGCTGATTCGCTTAAACTTCTAAACTTCTCAAGTTGAGAACAATATCCTAGAGAGGTAAGGGTGTGTCCTCTACACCCTAGGATTCAGAACTGCTGAGTGACTTAGTTAAGCTTTTAGACTTCTCTAGTTGACACAATGTATCAACCATAACAGCCAGCTAGCCAGCTGTGTTCCTTCAGAAAGGCAGGAAGAAACTGTGCCACTGCATACCTGTTATCCTGAGAGCGAGGGAAGCTTCCAAATGAACCATGTCATTGACTAAACCCGGATGAGTCATCTCAGGAAAATTTGAACAAGGTTCTCGGTCAGGCATTTACAAGACTCGTGAAAGCCACCAAAACCCAATAGCTTGACTTAAACTTGTTCGCCCTACTTCTCCATAATGTCTTCCCGGAAGAAAGAGAGGAAGAAAGAGGGGGGTCTCCTGGCAAGGGAAGGAAGAGAGCAGCGGTACCTCGCTTTGAAGGATCATCACAGCATGGTTAAAATGGTGATGCTCTAAGGTAGCTGAAGTCCCATAGAGCTGGGCCAGTGCGGAGCCGCTCCTGAAAGAGGACAGAAGGTGAGTCAGTGGGACCTTCCCCCAAGCCACTCCCACACCTATTAGTGACAGCTGAAGCGTCTTTCCAGGCACAGTCTTTGCCAGTAAGAAATTTACAGACCATTAAGAAAGGTGAGATGTAAGCGTGAGAAAAAATACCATACATAAAGATATAAATGCTAATGCATTGTAAAATGGTGTTTCTGGTCCAATCCAAGTGTTATGGAGGGAAGAAAAAAAGACACTTTCTAGTTGCAGGTGTCAGTGTAATTGTTGTAAATTAAACCTTATGGGGCCAAAGAAATAGCTTGTGGACTAAGCGCCTGCCTGGCAAGTGCAAGGACCTGGGTTGGACAACATGCCATGCTGGCCCTGCTCTGTGCTGGCCACTGAAACCGGGTGTGGTGGTATACCCCTGTAATCCTAGCGCTGGGGAGGCTGAGACAGGAGGATCACTACAAGTCCAAGCTGAGTAGTGGGACCCTGTACCAAATAAATAAATAAAACTTAAAGCAAAATTTTTTTTTCTGCGGTACTGGGGGTTGAACTCAGGACCCTGGGCTTTCCAGACTAAGGCAAGCACTTATTCTACTGAGCTATCACCCTGGCCCATAAAGCAAATTTTTTTTTAAAAAAAAAACCTTACCTCTTCTGAGTCTAGAGCACTCTTATGAGAGTCTAGAGCACTCTTCTACAAAATGCACTTGATCCTTTTTACAGGAAAAGGCCTAATGAATATTCTGCAGAATCTACTTTATCTATGTTACAACTTTCTGCTAGCCCCTGGTCGCACTGGGATAACTCCCATAGAACTCTACAGTGTTCCCTCAATTGGGAGTTGAGTTTCAGTGCTGCCTCTGCTTAGCTCTGAGCAGTTCCTTGGCCTCTCTAATGTTTGCCTTCTTTATCTGTAATATCTCGATAGTACTGTATACCTTACCTGTTACTAATGAGACTACAAGAAAATATTTTAAAGTACTTGTCACAGTGCATGGCATGGAGTAGATGTCAGTTTCTGTCGAGTATTAATTGTTTTTGGTTGTTTTTTGCTGGCTCAGCCCACCATAGGGCAAGGTAAGTGTGGCACGTGGTGCCGGGGATCGAACTGCAGCCTTTTGCACCTGCCTAAGCTTGCTTAAGCAGGTGCTTTAGACCACTGAGCCATCTCACCAGCCCTCGAGTATTAATTGATAATCAAGACACATATGGATGTTTCCATTTCAAATAATATGACATTAATAGATACATGGTGGGATTTCTTTGAGTTACTGGAAATTTTGTTGACATAGAACAACCCATCCCTTAGCAACATTAGGTCATTAAAGTGCTATTTTAAAAGTGTGCAAGCATATTCATTCCCAATTCCCTTTCTTGAAAGTACAGAATCCTACAGATTAAAGACCTGGGACTCAAGCTGAGGACATTTCCAGGTCCCTGGGTTCTTTTGTTCATCACAGGGGAGTCTGGACATGGAAAGGATAATTTGCCCTCACCTGGAAATGCTGTATCTTGAGTGCTTGCCGCCAGTCCTACTGAGAAGCAGAAAGACCACCTGCAAATGCACCATGAAGGCTTTCTATCCTGAGCTTCTCTTCTTCTGTAGTGCGAGGCAGCCCAAGACCTACCTAGTTTCTGGGGTACGGAGGATTGAAACCATTGGAAAGACTAAGAGCTCACCACATACTAGCGGGGACAGGACGACTGGGGTCATTAGGGATCACAATGTTTCTTTTATAAAAATAATTTTATTGAGAAATAAATAGCAATGAGACAGTTTCAAAACCAATTAGTAGGATAGTTTCAATAATTAATACATTGCACATTGTTGTTTCTTAGTGGTTATGCACAGTACAAAATGCAGACATGATATCCTGTCCATAACAATGTTCCTTTTTAAAAAAATTTTTTTTGTATTTTAGGGAAGGGTTTACAGGGTGTTCAGAGTCTCACTACTAGATTGGACTTGTAGTGATCCGCCTGTTTACAGCCTCCCAAGGGCTGGGATTACAGGTACGTGCCACCATGCCCAGTCTCAATTGTAGTCTCAGCGTGCCCTGGGGGTGGGGCCGGCACAGGGAGGTTCCTAATATCAGCTGATGAGTAAAACTTTGCCAGACCAACCTAGGGGTGCGTTAACACTTAATGCTAGTAATTTTATGTGTTACATAGAACTAATTTCTATGAAAATACATGCTTCCAAATGCATACTATGGCTTGGCTACTGGAGTAGATGTTTCTAAAAATATTAGTTGTTTGGTGATTAAGCTTCTCTTAGTATGTCTGGAGATTACATTTAAAGTTAGAAGACTGACCTAATAAGTATGCTGGCCTATTTGATAGTAATAATATGAATAATAATAGCTACCATTAGTAAGTGCCTGCTATGCCCTAAGAAACATATTGGCCACTTAATGTGCTATTTTGTTTAGTTCTGATGATATGAAAATAGGCAGTCCAGATGACTACAAAATAGATCGTATTATTTTCTCATTTTACACACCAGGAAATGAAAGTTCAGAGAAGTTGTGCAACTTTTCTAAGGTTACACAGCTATCTAGTATCAACCAAGATTTAAATTCAAGTTTTAAAGCTTCTTATATTATGTCATAAGAATAATATTATAACAAACATTTTTCATATTTGACTCTCATTTTACCAAGCTAGTTGTCAGCTGTGAAAGAATCTTTCAAAATTTAATTCAGAATTCTGCTAGGGTAACTGCTGGCCACAGATTCAGGTTTCTGTGGTTCTTTTCTGCCAACCAGGCATGCTCAAATACAGCTTGCTCACTGGTGCGAATCCTGATAACACAGTCATTGCTAAGTGCCTAAAGAATTAAGATGCAAAAATGTTATCTCTTCCTTATCCACCCTGGTTTCACAGACCCCAGGAAAGTTAAATCAGTTAGATGATCACAAGTCACTTTAAATTTTCTTGGTTCAAGATGAATAAGGAGATTTAACAAGCATGGTGCTTCCCACGCCAGCTTCTCTCCCTCTTTCCCCCATGTGGCTTCTGTTGTGCTCCCTCAGGACTCAGGGTGTTTGTGCCAGAACAGGCCTGTGGCTGCTCCGGGTTGAGCAGCTTCCTCATCAGATTGCCTCTTTGTTCGCTTCAGTGATTCCATCCTGCCTTCTGCCTCCTCTCCCACAATTCTGCTTTAATCATAGAAAATGGGCAAGTTTGTAACACAAGCAGACTAATGCTATGAAAGCACAGGAGGATTTTGCCATCCAGCCGTCCATTCACCTGTTATTCATTCCTTCCAGGCCGGCCAGCAAGCATCAGTGACCACACGCCTGACCCCACATGGAAGACAAGGATACCTGAGGTGTGGAAGGATACCTCTGACTGTGTTGGGGACTTTTTCTGACCAGCCTTACATGAAAGATGCTTACCTTTCTACAAGCAAGATGCTACTATGGACACCCAGAGAGTGGAGTGTGGTGCTTACCTGAGGTTTTTTTTAAAAAGTAAAATTTTTTGAGCAAGAGCATTTCCTTTCTAGATGGACCTTTGTTTACACAGTTAGATTTTGTTCCTCTCTGAGTTTCTGAGACATTCAGACCTTTTGGTGACTTCTACGTCTAGCCAGGGCTCGCTGCGAGGGCTGCCTGTACCCATGATTGTGTAAAGTGAGCTTCCCAGGGCCACCAGGAAGGAGCTAGACTCACAGCCATAAAACTGGATGCCATGAGGAAAAAGTAAAGCCTCTCTGGGAGGCTAAGCCTTATTGAAAAGTACTCTACAGAACACTGGTTCCTTGGAATGCCGAGGGGTACAGAGGGCTGAAATTCAAAGGGTTCCATGGTCAAACAAGTTTGGGAAATGCTGGCTTTAAAAATTTAAACTGTTTTTTATTGAAAGATTTTTCAGGACTTTAGTGCATTGTAAAGCTGTAGGAGGGAAACAAAATATAAGGCATTATTCACTCTTAACTGATCACAAAACTGTTTTTTTAAGAGCCCATGCCTTTTGTGTAATATTGTTTGTGTAAAGGTATACTTCTGCTTTTTGAAATAAAGTACGGAAAGTACCAAAACTAAAGCATAAAAACCTAATCACACATGGCAAGAAGTGATTTTTAACACCACACCTCACTTTGACTATCTGCAGTTAAGATATGCATGAGGTAAGTGGCTTTGAGGCTTGAGCACAGACACTGTGGCTGCAAAAATACAATTATATACAGGTAGGGTGTGTGTATAAGGAGCGGAACCTAGTACATCTATATGGAGGTGTTTGTGATGAGCATTATCGACCCAATCATCCCAAATACTAAAGTTTTTCATTTTTGAACAGGTGAGTTCTGAGGAAAAACTTATTAGGAGAAAAGTCAGAGTGAGAGTTTCGTTTCTGCAGGCATTCAGTGCTTAGCATAGCTCTTCGCCCATGGGTCACAGCATAGATTGAAGTGTGCTTCCATAACGCCCCTAGATATGCAGATTCCTTGGGCAGAAGACTCAACAGCAGCATAGAGCCATGGGCTAACAGAAACCTTAACAAGGAAAACTACGAGAGGTAATTAGGAAATGGAGAATTGTTGGGAGGTGGTGAGGAATGGGATTAGGCTGTCACGGCAGATTAATGTGCCCCAGTATTTCACTTCTGGGACCTGGCCGAAAGCGACAAGATGGGTTTTCATTCCCAAGAAATGAGTATAAGAGATTATGCTAGAAATGAATGGAAGAAGTCTCCTTGGAGAATATACTACAAAGCTGCTCAGTGCTGATATTTAATCATCAGGGGCAGCTGTAATAGAGAAGGGGATGGGTGGGAAACACTGTTCCTGGAGAACACGGGGGAGAGGTATGAACGAGCTTTTTTCAGGCGCTGCGGTATTGCTGCCCTCCCTACTTATGGATCATTCACTGCACGCACTCCAATACTTAAAAATTAAGAATAAAATATGAAAATGCAAAGGTTCACTTATCAGAAAGGCTAAGAGTATAAATCAAATCATGCTCTAACTAAAGTCACACTTTTTATTGTAGAGGCATTTTGCATTTTATATAGTAATTTGTCCCTTGCTAAATGTCTTCTCTTTCTTTATAGCCTTATATATGAAAAAAGGTAGCATATGCTTTGGCACATAATAATTGGTGCATTTAAATTCCATTTCCAAATCACTTGAAAGAACGGAAATAGACTGTGAATACTTGAAGAGAAAGGATTGTTTGCTGTGCTTCTTGGTTTCTCCCACAATGCTTAGCACAGGGCCTTGAACATAGGAACCAGCCACTTGATTACTGGGAATCAAAATCAGAAAAGGGTAGAGTTTCTTCACAGGGACTTTCTAAACAATGTTTCACTGACTGAATCAATCTTATTCCAATCAATACAAATAAGTTCCATCACCATGCTATGAAAACATGGCTCAGCAGTTATTGTCAAAGGAAAACTTAGGCTAGGTTGTCCTGGCATTAAGTGTCCTAAGTTTGCAAGTGGCTCCATTAGGCAAATGCAGGGCTGCTGAAACCTCACAAGCTGGTGACATGTATACAAGATTAGTCATCTTGCAGGACCAGAGCCATCTTAGATTAGTCATCTTGCAGGACAGAGCCATCTTGGAGCAGGCTGATTTGATCACGCGGCATGAGAATGCAAAAAGAAAATGAAATCAAGTATCAGAGACTTAATTAGTATTTATCTACTATGGATAGAAGTTATTTAGTGCTGTACAAATGACCTGAGATTTGGGGATCTCAGGTCTCATTTTTGTAAAATTAAGACATTGAGAAATGTGACTGCGAAGGTTTAATCCAGTTCTGCTATTTTTATGGCTGTACCTCTTGAATTGTCAAGATATATTTTAGTTTTTCAGAGCTCACATATCTGCCAAGACAGCCAATAAACTGAAAGCTCAAAGGTCCAAAATAGATGTCACAAAGTCACGGAAGAGAGTGTGATACAGCGATTAAAGAATGGTTTTTGGAACCTGACAGTGCATGTCCACATGCTGCTCTCCCACACACTGCCTCCCTGAGGCTCGGTTCCTTCTGCAAAGTACAAACAAAAATATCTACAGAAATATTGGTGATGGCTTAAGGGACAGCAAAGAATAAATAAATTATAGTTTTTATTGTCTCTGGGATTGTTAGTTACAAAAACCAGAAAAATGAAGTAGCACCATCTTCTCTGAGGAGAGGTTTGGTTACATGGTTCTCAGAATGCAGAGGGAGCTCGAGTGGCATGGCGTGGCGTGGCTAAGTCTCCGAGAAATAGGAGCAAGCCATGGGGAGAACACAGGACTGAGCCTGCTCTTTCTATCTTTCTCCTGGGCTATATAGTCCTTCCTTTTGGCTTCTCTCTGATTATCAGTCTCATTCTGTCCTCTCTGTCAACTGGCCCTCTTGTTTTGTTCATTCATTTGGGATATGGTCATACTAACTTGCCCCAAATGGCAGCCCCTGTTCTCAAGCCTCTGTGGACCTGCAGCTAGAAGATTCAGTATCATTGTCATCCAGTTCCACAAAGCTGGGAGGTAAGATCTGATTGGTCCAATTTTATTCAGTGTACACTCTTGGTCCTGAGAGCTGAGGAGTCAACTAGCAAGAAGAACAAGTTCTGGTGTGGCGCACAGACACTCTTGCTGGAAAGAGCCTGTTGCTCCTCAAGGATAACCACTGTAATATTTCACTCTTAAAGCCAATGAGCAGTGTGCTCAGTCTTGGTTTACAGACACAACCTAGTATGTTTCCCTCTTCTTTAGGCAGAAGTGGTAGAATGAAAAAAGAAAAGAAGTGGTAGAAGGGTGAGGGACTGTATGGAGAATGATAAAAGGAGATACATTGACAATGGTCTCCCTGGGATAGAAGAGAGAGGAACCCTAAAAAAATAAGTGGACAGATAAGGACTTAAATTAGGAACTCTCAGACCCTATAATGAAAGCCTGTGTGGTTTATAATGCAGGGGCCCTAGATCTTTAGTACACCCTCAAAGCTATGTGTAGCAAGGTTTTATACTAACCTATAAAATGTTACATCTATTTAATAAATCAGGAAAATCTATTGAAAAATATATAATAAAATGATAAAATTGTACTTATTCATGCAGTAGACATTAACCATGTGTTTATTATGTTTCTGGCACTCTTTAGTTGCAGTTCTTAATAAAAAGGGAGAGATACCTGTAAGCCAGAAATTTAAGTGGAATGAGAAGTACAGTTTTGAAAAGGGATAGCCATACATTATGCAGGCATAAAAAACATTGACAGGAGGAAAGATCTGATCAGCTTTGTGAAGTCCAGAGTATTCTGGAGTGTCAAGAGTGAAGGAGCATGGAGCTGCTTGTGAAAGAACCAAAGACAGATACAAAGAAACGGTCCTTGTGGTATGAATGCAGAGGAGGAGCTGCCTTGAGGGGGTCTGAATGACCTGCGGAGTTGGGTTGGGTCCATTCCCTGGATGGAAAGTAAGAGTCAGGGATAAGCATGTAGGAAAGACTGGGAATGGGTGACTTCCACTAGGAGGAAACCCTTAAGCAGCTGGGATAAGTGCCTGGAAATATGGTGCAAATTCTGGTTTAAAGAAATGGATTTGGGTGGTTGAGGAGATAGCTCAGTGGTCTAAGTGCCTGCCTGATAGACAAGCACAAGGACCTGGGTTCAATTCCTGGTACAGCATGTTGCACTGCATCTTGCTGGCCACTGGAAACCAGGCATGGTGGCCCATGCCTGTAATCCCAGCACTGGGGAGGCTGAGACAGGTGAATCACTATGAGTCCAAGCTGTGTAGTGAGATCCTATACCAAATAAATAAATAAAAAAATTTTTTAAAAACAATTAAAGAAAAGGATTTGGGGTTTATGAGCAGGTGGGTAGAGGCCTCGCAAGAAGGGCAGGAGAACAACGAGACATCAGCAGCAAGGCATCCACATAACTGAGCAGGAAAGCTATTGAACATGATGACGAAAATCCTTTGTTATAGAAAACAAGAGAACTGTGAAGGAGAGAGTGAGAAAACATATTTTGTGACAAGAAGAGTGAAGGGTTATCCTTTTCATCAAAATGATGATGAAAAGATCTAGCAGCTTTGAGAGGAGGGGCCACTGGTGACATCCCCAAGCATAGTTTCTCTGGTAAGAAAATGCAGGAAGCATGTAGAAGGTAGAGAAGCCAGCCAACCCAAACCACACTCTGGGAAGCTTAATCCAGGAGGAAGGAAGGAAGCACAAGAGAAGCTAGGGAGAGAAGTGGGACAGAGTGGATTTTTGCAAGATGAGGGAGGGCTGTTGACCTTCATAGGATGCAGAGCCCCAGGAGAGAAGAGCCAGGAGGCAGAGTGGAGAGAGAGGGAGATTGATGGCACCAGGTCCCAATGGAGAGCACAAGAAAGAGATCCAAAGAGAGGTGGGGGATTAGCTTCCGACAGAGAAGGACAGCACTTTGGCTGAGATAGGGAGGGAGGAGGAAAGGATGGGGACTGAGAGATAAGTTTGTAGGTGGCAGGGGAGGAAATTGAGAGGATTCTCGATTGATGGCCTCTATTTTCTCAGTGAAGTGGGAGGCAAGGTGATCTGCTGACTGCGTGGGGGAGGTGGGCCAGGAAGGGAGGACATTTGGCTTCCGTAAATGCCTGGGGGGAGGGGCTGGCTGGGGATGCAAAGAGACTCATAGGGAGTATAGGGCAATCAGCCCAGTTGGAAGAATATATATTTGAGGCACCTCAAACTCTTGCAGCTATGACATTTTCTCCCACAGCCTTTACTAGTCTAGGCAGAGGAGCAAGAAATTGAATTGTTAGGTTGAGCCAGGGCTGAGTTTTTGCAGAACTGATGTCACAGAAATTTAAGAATGTCAAGAAATTATTGGATGTTGAGAAAAGAAGGGTGAACAGGTGGATACTATGGGATGCAGAACAGGTAGAAGAAGACACAAAAGCAAAATTCATTTGTTAGACCAGGAGAAGCAAAGGTCAGGGCACCAACAGCTCAATGGGTGGGTGTTTGGGGAACAAAAAAGATAAGAAGCTGGGAGAAATTTGTTAACACGCAGGCTACTGAAACTTAAGGTGGTGCAGGCTGACTTGTTCTGGGCCCTTAGTAATCAGTCATCCTAAAGTTGATCTCATCTCCTTATTGAAGCCTTCCCTCGCTTTCATACCTTGTAACTTTTCTTTATTATATCTTCAGACCTCCTGCATCATTTGTTTGCAGATCCATTAAAATGGGGCCCTCAATATAAAGAGTTCAGAGTGCTGAGATTTGGTCATATTTCCAATATTCCTGAGTTCTGTGGCCTTAGCCACCAGGCAGTGGAGATCTTGACCAGTACACCTTACTTGGAGACAGGTTATTTTATCTATGTGTTATGTGCAGGACGCATAGTGCCTCTTTCATAAACCCCTGTATTGATGAAATTCTTTTACCCACTTTCCATCTTTCCATGGAGTTTGGAATGAGAGCTGCAGGCTCCTACATGTGGCTTTATTTCACTGCAGTTCATATACTATCCATCATCTTAAGAATCTTGGAAGACATATTTTGCTTCGTCAGAAATCCAAGACTGCCTATATTGGAGCAGCCTCAAAATCTGACTTGAGAGCAGCAGGGCCCAAAAGCTTGTTACGCCATGAAGGTGAATATTCTGGGGAAAAACACAGGCCTTTTAAAACACCGGCTTTGTTATCCGACTGCGGTCAACAGAGACAGACCAAATCAACAAGCATGACATGAAGGGCAAATTTGCAATTAAAAGAAGAATAGGGAATTATAGAGATGGATGGGCCCCACGACACACACACACCCAGGCCTGCGTGGCCTTGGCCTCCAGGGCCAGAAATTAATGCTTTACTCTTTAGCACTCATCACCTTTGGCTCTGCGCAGAAAGGCAAATGCATTAAAATAACAACAATTAGAACACTTACTTTGCTTGGAAGGCATTGTTGGTTCCCCTGTGGTCGAGGTCATGACACAGGCATCCCACAATCACCGCTAAAATTTCAACCTCTGTCAGAATCTCCTGAAACCCGGCAGTCTGGGAAGAAGGGAAAAATGACAACAGTCACTCTGGGGGCAGGGATGGTGGATGAGGTTAGCAGCCAAGCAACAATCAGCCCTGTTTCCATACCCACATCATTTAAGGAAATGATTAACTGCCACCATCTTGGATGACGAAAGTTGAGTGGTCAGTTGCGCAGCCTAAGGTCCCTACAGTGATGAATTAGCAGGCTGTCACCGCAGTCCACACTGCCACACCAGGACAAAGTTCAGACGATTTTGTTCTCTTTTTCAAAGAGGAAGCTATGCATCCTGATCTAGTGAGTTTGGCAAAGGCCCAGGGCAAAGTGTGTTTTGCAGTTGTACATTTTAATGATGAGTATCAGTGTTTCGTGGCAGGTGAATTAGGAGAGACTGTGAATGTTGAATTGTGTGCGGTATCCATCAGATGCCACCCAAATGAAAGCAGACAAAAGGAAATAAAGCCTTTATGTTGACAGGAATACCTTGGAAGCCTCAAATTGTTATGTGATGACCTAGAACGCATCCTTTAACTACTTTAACTCATATTAGAGAGGTGGACAGATGAAATTTCTACAGGCCTTAATGTAGTTTCTCAGAAACAAGAATTTGGCAAAGACTAGGCAACCCTGGAGGAAGACCACATGAATTAGCCCCACTACTGGGAGTTATTTTTTCTGATCCTAGTAATTTTGCTTTTGAACACATAAGCAAGTGTGATGTGATTTCTTTTGGAAGCAGTTTTATATAATTACAGAACTAAGAGCAGCAATGGTTCTTTGGTTCCTGCTGGCCGTCTCATTAGTACAGAAGAGGAAGTGCACCTCTGGGAGAGGAGGTCCGTGCATCCTCCTGATCCAGGGCCTTATTCTCCCCCTTTACTAACTCTCCTGTTTCATTACTTATTAAAATCTTTATCAGAGGACAGGAGGAGAATTGAGATTGCTTCACTTTTCATGTTGGGTTTTTTCTTCAAATCTGTGCTTACTGATAGAAGACTCTTCTCTTAGTGCAGTGAAAACTTTGTTCTTTAGTTGGCTGTGCTTTTATTGCAGAAATAACTGAGTAACAGGACCTTGTGGTGATAGGTTTAATTTTGAAAACACTCTACTCCCATACTACATTTAGAATTATACACACTTTCATTTGCATAGCAAATGGAAATGCTACCAAATTGTCCAGGAGTGTGAAATTGTGTCAAATCTTGTGTGTGCCCTTATTTTAAAATTTGGAGTTTGCTGCTGGTCTTTCTATGTTCAACTAATTTCAGTTAAAATGTGACCTGCAATCTGTATTTAGTCAGATCAGACTAAGAGATGTAGAACCAGAAACCAGTAGTTCCTCATCTTTTCCCTTCCCCGATTGTCCAGAGCAATTGCTTCCATTTTTAAGCTTAAAGGTGGGCTCCCTTCACATTTATTGTATGCATGCACTATTGTCACTGGGCTAGTCACCAAATACCTGTATGGTCCTTCTTCTGTACCTGACCATTGTCCTAAGAGCTTTCAGCTACTTATTCTTGTCATGGTACTGTTAGGTAGGTGCTATTATTATCCCCAGTTACAGATGAGGAAACTGAGTGGCAGAGTGGTCACCTCCTATGCCCAAGGGCTCCCAGCTCCAGAGCAGGAGGCAGAGGGGGACACACTCCCAGCAGACTTTGGCCAGAGTCTGAGGATGTCTGGTGGCAGGTGAGAGTGATTGTCCTGCACTTTGCCCTCAGCCTTCCTAGATACCCCCCCACACAGCTTTCCTGATGCCTGTCTGGTAAACACCACTTGTCGCTGAGCTCACCAGTGTGGGAAGATTGTCTCCTTCCTTACATGAATATTTTCATTTTCTGGCATTAGGGTTTTTCCCAGGGCCAGCCAAATAGATCAGTGGATTAAAGCACCTGTAAACAGGCACAGGGACCAGGGGTTCAATCCCAGGGCCTGCCATGCTGGCCCTGCCTCCGTGGTGCACTGAGATGGCAATTGAGACTGGGTGTGGTGTTGTGCACCTGTAATCTCAGCCCTTGGGAGGCTGTAAATAGGTGGATCACTATGAATCTGATCTAGTAGTGAGACCCTGAGTACCCTGTAGACTCTTCCCTAAAATACACACACACACACACACACACACACACACACACAGATTCCTCCCAGACTTCTAAGTCTTCTCACACCCTAACACACTTCTGTAAAATGTCTCTTAAAATACTTTTGAAGAGGGCCACAAGGATCACCTCTTATTTTTGATCCTTCATGTCCTGGGGGAGTTTGACTACTATTCCTGGCCATCCTTTGGGGTTTCCTCTCTTCTCCTGGGGATGCCTGCTTTCTCTGGCATTCCAGGCCTTTCTCTTTCCTCAGTTTCTCTCTTCTTTTATGGAAGCACATCAGCCCGTGGCTTCATGGGAAAGCATGGTAATTTTTTAACAAGAGGTGGGAGCAGGAAATTTGATTGTTCAGGGGCTTTGCATCACTGAAAAAGACCCCTTTCTTTCTGTACTTGTTAGTTCGCCTAATAATTCTAGGTTGAAATAGTTTCACTTAGAAGTTTTAAGGACTGCTCATTGTTGCTTAGCTTTGTGAGTGGCTTTTGAGAAGAAAACACAATTATGCCATTCTTATCCCTAACACTGAGAATGCGACTTGATTTTCTTTCTTTGACAATCTTCTCTGGTGATTCATCAATTTCACAAAGACATACTTTATTTTGAATTTTTTCCACTTCAGTTTGCATAGCAAACCCAATTGTTCCTTCTTTAGTACAGTGTTCCAATTGTTTTGTTCTGTTTATTTTTTCTTTAGGATCTTTTCTGTGCTATTTGAATGGAACTCCAATTGGATGAAAGTTGAACTTCTTGTATTTATTTTGTCTTTATTTCTTTTTCCCCCCTTTTCTTATACAGTTGTTTCTCTTTCTAGAAGTGTTTTGATTTTTGGGGGGTATTTTTAGGGAAGGGTCCACAGGGTGCTGCTCAGGGTATCACTAGTAGATTCGATTTGTAGTGATCTGCCTTTTTACAGCCTCCCCAGCGCTGGGATTATAGGCGCATTCTGCCACGCAGAGTCTCCGTTGCCTTCTCAGTGCCCCTCAAGGGCGGGGCTAGCACGACAGGCCCAGGGATTGAATCCCCAGCCCCTGCGCCTGCTTGCAGGCGCTTTAATCTGCTGAACTATTTGACTGGCCCTGAAGTTTTATGATATAAGCATTTTTTTTTCTGCTTCTTTTAAGTAGTATGCTCTTCTCTCATGAATGCATTATCTTTATATTTCTGAAGATATCAATAACACACTCATTGCATTTTCTGAGTTTTTTTCTTCCCCCTTGAATTGTCTATTTCCTCTGGACAACTTTTTTCCACTGTGTTTCCCTCAAATGTCTGGTAATCTTTGGCAAAGTATGCATAGTTAAGACTATGCATATTTATCCTGAAAGTTTATCAAATCACCAGCAGTTCTTATGGTGCTATGAAAGTCAGTGTTTTAAAGAATGACATTACACATAAATTCAGATGCAGTAGGTGTGGCTCGTGCCTCAGGTTACTGGGCCTCACTACAGGTGACCTGGTGGCCAGCTGGTTCTTGGCTAGACATCCCCAAAGGTCAGCATCTAGCCTCAGTCTCTCTGGACTCTCTAATCTCTTGCCTGGAGATGTGATTGTAATTCAGAAAACAGAGCTACAGCTACTGACCAGGAAGGCTGTGGACTGTCATGTAATGCTGTGATTTTCAGTGTGCACTTTGCCCTAACTTTCCTTTTCTGGTGTCCTCAAGTCTGGAGCTCAGTTTCTCTAGCAAATACTCTGGTCAGTGCACACAGGTCAGCTGACTCCATTTCCGTGCTGTCTGAGATCCTCACTGGTTTCTGCAGGGCACTCTTTTATGTGTGGCCCGTCTTGCACCCTCTCAGACCACGGGGCCCTTGGGAGGGACCTCGCTCATCTCTGCTAAGTTAGGAACCAGCCTCTCTCTATTTTTCTCTTTTGGGGCTGGCCAGATTGCTCAGCAGATTAAAGCACCTGCTTAGGCAGACACAGGTACCGGGGTTCAATCTCTGATGTGCCATGTGCACCCTGGCCCCACCTCAGGGGCGCGCGGAGACAGTGACTGAGACTGGGCATGGTGGCACGCGCTGGTAATCCTAGTCCTTGGGAGGCTGAACACAGGAGGATCACTATGACTCCAACTTGTGTAGTGAGACCCTGTACTAAATACATTAAAAAAATTAAAAAAATCTGTTTCTCCCTTTTACTATTATGGCTCCACAAAAAGGACATTTTGTGGAGTTTATGTGCATTTCAGTCCTTGTTATTGTTTGGCAGTATTTTTTTAAAAAATTCTTTTTTAAAAATGTATTTTAGTACAGAGTCTATGGGGTCTCACTACACAGATTGGACTTGTAGTGATCCTTCTCTTTTCAGCCTCCCAAGTGCTGGGATTACAGGCGCATGCCACCATGCCTAGTCTTAGTAGCTGTCTCAGCGTGCCTGAGGGTGGGGCCGGCACAGCACACCAAACATCGAACCCCAGTCCCTGTGCCTGCCTAAACAGGCTCTTTAGTCTGCTGAGCTATCTGGCCGGCCCTATTATTCTTTTTGATACAGGGTCTTGCTACGCAGTTAAGACTCATAGTGACCTTTCTGTCTCAGCTTCCTCAGCATTGAGATTATAGGCGTGTGCCACCACACCCAGTTTTGGTGGCCCACTCAGTGCACCTGGGGTTCTGGGGCCAACACAGCATGTGGTACTGGGGATGGAACTCAGGTCGTTGACCTTGCCAGGCAGGTGCTTAGACCTCTGAGCTATCTCCCCAGCCCTCCAAATCATTTTTAAGCCATCAATATCCATTATATAGTATGATGGAGCTAATTTTGTTTTAATTTTATACACATTTCCCCCCTTAGAAATCAAGCATTTGGTTCTTAGATTATTTGTATCTTAGACACTTTGAGAATTTGAGAAAAGCTATATGCTGTCTTTCTAAAAGCTCTTCTGTAATTTTAATGTATTCAAGGACCACAGAACC